AAGAGTTTTACCTCTAAAGCTTCTAAATCAAACCTTAGTGAAATCATCACCTTCCTCCATTATCATGTGCGCCCCTAAGAGAGGAAGGCTAGAGCCTCACGTTCTGTTTGTTATGAAGTCAAGAGAAGACGGAAAGGTATTTTTCTCCACCCTTATTTACCAGAAATGCTTGATTTATTCTCCCATGCAGACTGGGAGTGGAGAGGAGTTTCACTTGTCAAACTCGTTTCCCGTGCCTCATTAAGGGCCCGTGCCGCTCCGCTTCCCTCCCTGCTGCATTAAATCGGCTCAGAGCTTCCCGAGCCGTAGCAGGCTGCCCTGCTGCCTCCGAAGTCCGCCTGTCACCGCTGGCAGCTCCAAGAAGTCAGTACCTGGGAGCATTAGCAATGGCTTGTTACCAACACATCCGTTTTGGCAACGGTAGAGCTGCTTATGAATGTTTGCCTCTCTGCTATCTGTTTAACAAATCAGGAGGCTAGTTATTGTGCAGGCTTATAATAAGAACTTGTCCGTGCCAAACGGCTAGAAGAAACTCAGCTTTTGTGTAAGATGTTTAGTTTTATTCATATAACCTCCTGAGAGAATTTCATTCACCACTGACATCTCATGTGGCACTTAAATTTTCATCTTGGGTGGGGAAAAGGAAGCTTTCAGCAAGTCCTGCCTGTTCATTTGATAATTTGTGCAACCCAAGACAATTTTGCAATGCAGTGAAAACTACAGACCCCACTTCTGTGTCCCTATTTTCATAATACTGTAAAAGCATTTGATGTCTGGTTCAGAAATTACATATGCCTGCGTGTGTCAGTTTAATGCTCATAAATAGTCCAGGAGTACAAACTCCTCCATCCCCAGACAAGCAGATAGCGCCTGGGAAGGACCAGCAGGAGATTCTGCACAGGTAAAATCTGACCTAGAAATAATAAGGGCAAACCACATAGCTCAGCTGCTCATTGACTTCACTACTAAGACTGTCAAGAATTGCAATTAGTAACAGATCTGCTGTGGGAACACCTTCTGCTAGGTGTCAAATGGGTGACTATTAGGTATCAAACTGGGATTGCCTACTTTGTTTCGGACAATCACTTTACAAATACCTCACAGCCCCCATCAGAACTGAATTCTCTTTGCCCAATGAAAAAAATAATAGCTTAAATTTCTTATTAACGAGCCCTTGGCTGTTGATTTTCAATACATTGCTCTCTCCTCCAAATGCACTATGTGACAGTCCCCCACAGCAGGGCTGCATTCACTAAGAAAAGTTCTTCCATCTTCTTGTAACCCTGACTCATCTACTAAAACACATTTCTGGCTGAGCTCACTGTGACATATTTCTTGTCTTGTGAACATTTTTTAATCAAATGGGCACTGGGTATTTGAAGGGGGATTTTTCTTTCATACTTTGTAAATAAGAGTAATCAAACTAATTTTGCTTCCTTAATTTTGTATACTTAATGCCAATTTTTTTTATTTAGATTTAATAGTTGCTTGGCCCATAATAAGGGGGTTCTTTTGTTGTGATTATTTTTAAAGGCATTCTGATTCATTAGATCATAAAAAGCAATTACAGAGATGAGTTCAACAAGAGTCACTGGTACTAAAAACATGTTATTGGTCAGAACCGCTTTAACAATATCTATGCTGAGTAATTTAGTGGTATCCTTAAGAGCGACAGACGTTCAATTCAAAATCTTCCAGCCTCATCACTGCTGGCATGATGGCTGGTGGTCGTCTTTACCCGGTTCCACTCGGTCAAGTTTCATCATTTGAATGTTCTCGTTTTCATTCAAAATAAACAAGTTTGAAACAGTGATTTTTTTTAACTGTATCTTGAATCTGTAAATCTTTGATCCTCCAGCAACAGGAAGCTACGCCAAGTGTTGTTTTAAAGAGCTCACAATTTGTGAGATCTGTGACCACAGAACAAAGGTAGAAAAACAGGCTTTGAAAATTGTGAGGAGAAAATCTCTCTGTGACACATGTGCTGGTAGAGTCTAGACCAAATGTCAAAGGCAGCAGGGAAGGAAATGAAAATGTGAGTGGCTTGGGAAGAGGCAGAAGAAAGAGTCACAGAGGAGCAGAGGGAGTGAGAGAAGATGGAGACAAAACGCAACGCCTCTGTGCGCACCTTTGAAGGTCTCAGCAGACTCATTTTACAGGAGTCAGACCAGCCTTTTACCAGAACCACAAAGAGGGCAGCCTTCCAGTCACGGTGCCCGTAACGTCACACGTTCCTGAACATTTTTACAGCCTGAAAGAGCTAATTATTGGGGCAGTCGTAGAGGAATGCAGGATGGGTGTGTGGTATTGAGCAGGAAGGTAGCTGCGCCACCACAAGTTCCACCTCAGAATAGAGCCGTGCTATCGGGATGCTACCGAAGCTTCAGATGTTCCAATGCAGCCATCCGTGCGTGGCTGGGTTCTTCAGTGGTGTCCTCAAACGTTGCTCCGTTTGGATTAACAGGTAACACAAGCAATATGAAACTTTATTAGCAGTGACACTGTTGAATCAGATGACAGATTGTACCAATTTATTAACAGTGATACCTCACTGAGATTAATGGAAGTATTTCTCAGGGAACTCGCTTGGCTCTGCATTTCAGGAGCTCTCCTTTCCAGCAACAAGCTCCAACCTCCCCTTTGAGCAAAGCTGAGCGATCCAGTGTCTGCAACGCTCTTCTGGCCCAGCCCCGGCCATCCTTGCAGCAAGCCCCTGTGGGAGACCAAAATCTGCAATTTGTACCAGAAGGGCTTATTCCGTCCTGAAACTAGAGAAACCGAGGGGCAAGTCTTGCCGTGGCCGTTTACAAAGCTGTTACCACCTCATCCTTTGCTCACTCCTGGCATGGAGGAAGACTTAGTCAAAGGGACCAAGGGCAATAAAAAGTCAGATTCAGCCTGCCTGCCAGCCAAGTCATGACGCTCACCCTGCCTTCTGCTGCCTGTGGCGGAGATGGCTACCTGGCAGAGGTGGCACCTTCGGCCGGGGAGGCGACCTACCCACCGTGGCGGCAGCCGGCAGCAGATCCCATCTGTCTCTGTCCTACCATAAAAGATGCTGATGCCGGATATAGCTTATTTGTCTAAACTGGTGGTTTGCTTTGGTGTGCCTATACTAATTGCTTTTGTTGAGGGCTGGAACTGTTCAAAATCCGGTTGTAAACAAGATCTTAGATTAGAAGACAGAAGCTTGACTCGAACTTAATCTCCTAATTCATGCCGTGATTTGTACTATGCAAGGCAACACCACATTCATCGTATGGAAACAGGCTTGACACTGGCTCTTCACTCAGATGAAATAACCCTTGCTTGGAGAAGTTTGGTTTATGCAGATAAGATTATGGCTTACAGCTGGGGGAACTAGGAAGACAGCTAGCCAGGTTACCATGAGCAGCCTTGCCACTCTAACCTTGACTTACGAGTGGAATAAATTATTCCAGGGGCAGCTTTATGCAACCGCAGAGCCACGGCTTTTCTGGATGAGCGTTCTGCTGAGCTCTGCCACGCCACGCCAGGCAGGCCCCGGGCGCGGTGGCCGAGGGGCGAGGGCAGCCCCCCGCCAGAGCCTGTGCCACAGCTCGGAGCCCAGCCTACGCCATATCCCTTGTGGAAGGGCTCTGTCAGCTTCTAGAGTTTAAAAATTAGGCATGCTGAAATCGCGAAGTCCTCATCTATCTGCTTATTTGGGTGAATGTGTTGAGACAATGGCAATTCAACCACTGCCTCCCGTCACTCGCTGCTGTTAAATCGCAGCCGCCCCTCCCAGGGCTGCGGGGAGCCCTCAGCCCCCGACATCGCCGCTGCTGCTCCTCGTTGTCGTTCTCCAGGCCGACCCTGCAAACCCGGCTCAGCCTGGGACACCCGCGGCGCGACCCCGCGGCCAGGCCCCGGCCCCCGCTCCCCGCCGGCCCCCGCGATTCAAGACCCATGAAGAAGAGGCCTCAGACAAGAGCCTGTCTGCGTCCAAGTGCGATAGGTGGCATGCGCAGGAATGGTTAGCTACAGTAAAATGGCAATTTTCTGCTAATTGTAAACAACGGTGGTGCCTATGTATTTCATTCCTGCCTTTACTGAGTAAACCTGAGAAATAATGAAACCTGGGGAGAACATTTGAACTTTTATTGTACAGGGTAAATGCTCTATAACATTAACAAATCAAAAAACATTACTTCCTGAATAGCAAAATGCCAGGCCATTTAGATTAGCCATGCTCAGATGCCTGCTGCGATCGGTGTGTAATTGTCCACCAGCAAAGAACAATCTCTCAAAATTAGTGCTTGTCACAGAGCTCCAGACTGCCTAGAGCTGCACTTAACGAGGCTTATAGCCGAAATGCACAGAAATCTGCTTTTAACCCCAAATCAAATAACAGCCTTTCCGGTGGCATTCTCTCTGCAGCTGCCCCCTGCTTCCTTTTCATCCCTCCTTCACGAGGGAATCTACTTTGGCCTTAAAAAGCATCTTTGTTTTACAGAAACTGGCACATTGCAATGCAGCTGCACATGACCCACTGATTGCTCCCCCCCACAAGACCCACGGAGACTCCAGGGACCGATGTATCCTGGTTCAGCATTACATTACAACGGACGCCGTGCAGAAGAGACAAGTCATGAGACAGGACTTGAGGCTCAATGACAGCTGAAGGGGACATTCTTCTCCCACCACCAAGCCAGTTCCTCAAGGCACCCAGAGTTACAGTGGTTGATCTGGCCAGAGCACCCCCCCATCAGAAGCAAACACCCCAGCACCAGAGCATTAGCAGGTGCCCCAGCTCCTTCTCCTCCATTTCTAGCCAGAAATTTTGTCATGGAGCTGATGCCCACCGCGGGGCCGGGCCGGGCGCCCGCCGGCCGCCCCCGCTCCTCTGCCTCCGTGCCCCTCCGCAGAGCCCCGGTGCTCTTTGCTCAGGTGTCTCTCGGGGCGGATTGCAGGTGCTACTCGTTGGGTCGATTGGGTAACGGTGTGGTCCAGGTTCCTGGGTAAACACGTATATATGTGGGCTTCAGGTGCTTAATTGGTCCAAGTCCAGCTGCAGGGTCAGTAACAGTTGAGTGACAGTCTGTCTCCCAGATACAACCAGTTTCTACGGTGGCTTCCCTCAGCAGGTACACAGCTGGAGGGCTGCCCTGCTTTCCTTTCACCAGCTTGCTCGGGAAACCAAAGCCTAAGTATTAAAAAGGTAATAAAATTGAAAGAGAACCAAAAGAGAGAAAAATATGAATGTGGTCAGACCTGGTTTCTGTACTAGTCCACACCTAGGCTGTTGTGCTGGCTGGTACCCTGCCCCTGAGCTCGGATGTGCCGCAGCACCTGATGTGACTTCTGTTAGCTCCCCGCTCTTTCACTTGAAATTTTGCCTTTCATACTTGGCAGAAGGTTGGAGTCTTTCGGGAGGTGAGTGGGATGCACAGCCGCTGTTTTCCATGACCTAATCTACGTATGATACCGCAGTTGTTAATGGATTCTCAGAGTATCGCAGATTTCATTTTATCTTTAGTATCATGCTGTAAGTGCACGAACGTTTACACAGCATGGGATTTCAATGATATTTCCAAATAAGTGGTCTGCTTCTGTACTGATCGGAATTATTTCTGTGACTCAGTTGTTCAGCGATAGTAAAGATTATGTGAACAGTTACAAACCACAACTAGATGTTTTCTGATCCAGGAAGGAAGGTGCCTAGTTTGGAGGAATATGGCTCTATTTTTAACTGAATGGACTGAATTTGTAAAGAGGAGATAGCTGCCAATTTGGTCAAAGAAAGCAAGCTTTTTACAAACCTATTCATTTCTCCTCAAAATCTTATCTACGTGGTCATCATGAAACTGTAGTGCTGATCTATTTTGACCTGCTTGTGATTTTTTTGGTTTTGTTTTTCCTTTCAAAAACAAAGAGCCTAGATAACATAAAAATTGCTTCAGTATCTAAATATGTAACCCCATTTAATGTATGCTGCTTCTGGTTTTGTGGAGTTATCCCCACCTTGTTGCAGTTTCTCATATGCTGTTACTTGTGGCTTATTAGGCCTAAATGGCCTCTCCTGCTGCTGGAAAGCACAAGAAAAAAAGATACAAAAAGGGGTAATGTGCTTTTAAGCTGGGAAAAGGAAGCATGAGGCCTTTTGAGTGGAATAAAGGAAATGTACTTCCTGAAAAGACTCAAAAATCCAGATCTTTGAGGCTGTTATCAGTGCTTGCTGTTTTTACTGACATTTTACTTTATGCCTCAAAGAATAATTTGTTCAGCAGATGGGAATCGAGAATAAGGCAAGATTTGAAAGGTGCTCTTCTGCAGTTTTGGGTATAGGCTCGCTGCGATACCAGACAAATGCCATACAAATATGTGCAATAGATTTGGGATTTTATCATTTATTTTTCTAAGTTGGGCTTGCATGTGAAGACAGCACTAAGAACGCTCAGGTTTTCCTCCTCCTTTCTCTCCCAAGCACTATGATCTTTTAATTCTGGAATCACTCTGAAACATACAGCATCTCCTCCTTGGACATGAACAGGAACTCGAGACCAGGGGTCTCTCACAAAGAATGGATTAGCCCCTATGTTTAACATTTTAAATATTTGAAGTGTTTCAAGATTAATCTCAAGTAGTGTAAAGGGAGGGGTATGAGCTTCTTCTCTCTCGTTTTAAATTGTCATATGTCTTTCTTAAGACCTCTTTTCCACTTATATTGGGATTGTGCTCATCCAAGAAGGTTGTTTGCGTGCTGTGAAACTATAAAGCTTGGACTTCCTTGCCCTCAAGTAGTTTTTGAGCTTTAAGAATGCATTTAAATTGTGAAAATTGTGAACTCGTAACTCAGTTCAGTGCAAAAGCATTCTGCGTTCATGGCTGGCTGCAAGTAGTTATTAGTCTGTTAATTTCAGAAATTTCAAATTCTGATATTGAAGGAGTCAATATTTTATATTGGAGCTCTTGGATTGTCAGTATCTTAAATGGAGAAGTATTTATGCGTTCTTGTGAGATAATGCTGCATATCTGCTGATTAAATTACTCTGGTTTCACGAGAGTTCCTGTTAAAGAATACATTAGAGAATTGTTAGAGGATCAAAAGGCTTCACTTAAAGATGTTTCCTGTAAATTGTAGTCCGGTTCAGTGGGGCCTTATCAGACCGTCCTGCATTTGATAATAACCTTAATGCTTGTGTTATAGAGAGCCTTTATTTAGGAGTAAACAGCATCTGAATGCTATGTATCAAGTTTCCACCTTTAGGAAGGTGAGATTATATTCCTCACAATTATCTTTTTCAGAAGAGGCAAACTTGACCTGTAGATAGGAGGAAAAACAACGTCCCTGTGTTGCAGTATTCATGTGGCAGAAAACAAAAAGCATCTGTTGTTGGTGATGGTGTGGGCTTTATTTATTTATTTGTCTTTAAGAAAGAACAGAACAGGTTTTGCCTCTGGACTGTGAGTAAGTGTGCAACCCAATTCTTTTGCCTTTATATTGCAATGTGACACGTATGTATAACTACAGGAGTATATGACTGACTTTTTTAACAGTATGTGTCAAAATGATTTTTCCTGGTTTTGATGAGGACTTCAGTGTAGTATCCCAAAGCAGCTATTTTCAAACTTCAGGTCTGTTTCTTAGGGTATTAAACCCAAACTGTCAAACTGAAAATGAAACAAACTCCAGAGAAGCATTGGCTGGAATTATTGCCCTCTTCAGCAACTTTTTAAATGATCCTTCCTCTAAAGTTGTTCCTGATAATGTTCGTAAATAGTATTACAAAATGGCGTAGGGAAATAACTGAAGCTTTGCTTTACTGAAAATGTCTGCGAGTAGTGAGTGACCTGAGCAAATCCGCTCCAGTGTTTGCTGTCTGGGTCTTGCAGCCTGTTGCAGTCGATTCCTTGCAGAAAGGAGAGGTGCAGGCATGTCAGATGTGCAGCAAAGTTAAATACCGGCATGCTCCGAGATCCTTTTCTTTAAGGTAGAGGTAAAGTCTAACTCCTCGTACCAAAACACACTAGTGTGGTGGTGGTATTAGGATAAACATGTCGGTGAAGGGGATGGGTCAAGTGCTGCCAACGGTGCTGTTCTGCTGGAGCTCTCGCTGGTGGAAGGAAAGCGAGTTCCAGCTGTTGTGGGAGTCCAGTGAAGCTTTCTGTTCAACAGCCATGGTACCTACCAGTTTTGTTGTTGTTTTAAATATTGAAGTATTTATTTAAAACAAAAAAATGTTTGAAATGTTTTGTAAGTGTGAAGTTTTCTGAAACCTGATGCTTGCCTGTTTTACCAGCTTAAAGTTACCACAGATGAACGAGTATTTGCATCATTCCTGTGCTGGCACAAACAAGGGGGAAAAGCTCAACCCTTTGTGTAGATAACAGAGAAAGGATAGCTTTGTTACGGTCTTCATGTTCTGTTTTACTGCTAATAACGCGGTCTTTAAATTAGTGAGAATAAGAGGTCCTAATAATAAATAGACTTTTCTGAAGTGTTTGTTCATAATTCTGTCTAAAATCTAACGTTACCCCGGGCTCTGTTGTGACTGCTTTAGAAAGATCCAGTATCTTTTCTACTAAATAAATATAAATGAGAAGGAAAAAAAAATTAAAAGTTATCCTCTAATGGATAATAGAAGGTCCCATTAGCAGGCTACCTTCAAATATTTATAGATTTTTAGATGATGATAATATCTTATATGGAAATTTGAAACAACAGAAATTACAAAGCTAACACTGAGGATAATTCCTTTGGGTTCTTTAGTTTTGTTGTGAGATTTCCCCCCTCCCCCCTACTTCTTGTGAGACTTCCGAGGTACCTCCATGGCCTTTGGAGAAATGTAATAATATTCTAGATGTAATCAGTGAAAGGTTTCCCATGACTTTGAATTTATGGCATTGGACAAGGGCAGTCTAATCCCGGTCACTCAACTGAGCCAACAGATGCTTTTATTTTTAAATGTTTTCCTAACTTGGAAGCAGAACTGCGTAAACTGAGTGTTCTGTCTGGAGAGGATGCTGAGATGGCCTTCAGCAGCTGTTGAAGATCTGTATGCACTGGGCAACAAAATCATTTTCCAAATGTTCCGCGAGCCTGTGTATATGAATACGGTGTCATTGTCCTCTTGGAGATGAGAGCAAGGTGTCATTTGTTACTGACAAAAGAGTTGCCATTTTTTAACAATATATTAACTCCCATGGAATTATTCATTTGCTAACAACCATTTATAGTCAGCGAAATTCACGTTTTTCTTATCCTTTGCATTCCTAACAGTTGAAACTGTTCTTTGAAGTTGCCACAATTCGGAGAGAGATCGTGACACTGTGTTATTTTATCAATGCTGTTAAAGTTTCGTATATCAGTTTAAAAAAAAATGGTTCACAAATCACTTAAAATCAGTCAAAAAACCCAAGTGTCTTGTATCCCAGAAATCTGGAACTCCTTACTCAAACTATAAGATTCTGGTTGGGTTGGTTGGTTGGTTGTTTTTCCCTGGTTTGAGATCGGCCAATGTTTTATGGATGTCATAGAAATAGGACTGGCTTTGACTTAAACCAGGAGCGACATGGGGGAGGACCACAGTTTGTCTAACAAGCTCTTTATATAAATCCAGCTAACAAAGCTGCTCTCAGTTCTGAACATACAGACATGTTCTGTATTTGTTGTGAAGCTGTTCCTGGCTTGTTGGATACCTGACTAATTGCCAATGCATAGTTTTATAATAGTCTGGAGTAAACTGGAATTTATTAGCGAAAGAGAATCACTTTTGTATGATGGTAGCTGTGCTGGGATAACATAGACGGTACTGTAGCTGGAGTAGTTCATAATTTTGATTGTCTGGTTGCATATAAATGTGTGCTGTCTTTTAGAGGGTTTTATACACAGATTTAAATTGTGTAGTTTCAGAGAAACAACTCAAGTGTTTGTTTTTTTTAGAATAGTTAAATGCAACGTCTGTATGGCAAGTTCTTCCAAAACTTTCTCAAGTTTCATCATATTTCATTTGGCTTGCTTAGACTGCGTTTGGTGTGATTGTTTGTCAGGTAATGTTTGAAAATTCTTAGAGAAAAAGGCGGAATGTCTATGGTAAGCCTCTTCAAGATTTTCCTCTTTGGAGGTAACTGTTAGAGTCTCCTTTCATCCCTGTGTAGCTTGGATCTTAGTTACAGACAGAAGATAGGATTAGCCTCAAAGAAAAATCAAGCCATCTAATGCTCCAAACACAAATATTTCTTGCTATAGGAATTGAAAAGTCAATGTTCAAGTTGGTTTATTCCGAGGTGTTATAGAACTGGAATATTGCTGTAGTTTCAAGAACTTCTTAAAAGAAGATTAACCCTTGGCAGCTATGATGAAGTCCATATTTCAAGAGCAATTTGAGTACGTGTTATGTAATTTAAATAGGAAATAGTTCATTCTTCATCTGACCAAGCTGTCGGAAAAGAGGGGGTCTGACTTCTGTATGCAAAGTCTTGATTAAAAGTAACCATCCACTGTCACAGGCAGTCACCGAAATGTCTGTAACGTGTTTCTGTTAAGAGAACTTATCTGGGAGAACTCACAATTTAAATAACAGTTACTTTTAACATGTCTGTACTTATAATTTTTAACAGTACTAGGTTGGAGGTATTCTTTCATGACACTCCAAAGAGATTGTTTATTAACTTTCCTAAAAATACCTCTTAATTATTCAACAGGTTCATGAACCACCCAGCTCCAGCAAACAGCCGCTACAAACCCACTTGCTATGAACATGCTGCTAACTGTTACACCCATGCAGTAAGTACATTTCCTTTTTTTTTTAAAAAAACAAACAAACAAACAAACAAACAACAGATGTTTCAGTAAATTGTTGTGGGTTTGGATGGCTAAATGCTTACCTTTGTCTGAGTGTATTCATATTTACAGCCTCTCTGGTTTTGTTACATAAGCTTCAGCTATAACAGTCCAGAAAAGGTAATGTTAATTAGATGGCTGGTAATCACTAGTCCCTGTTCTGAATCTCTAGGAGCTCCAGATGCTTCATAAGTTTCCTTTTCACTAAAGTTACGTGTCTTTAGACGATTTTCCTCTGTCCCAGTCAAAGGATGACTATGGTAAAGTGAATATAGGTCTATACTAGTCGGTCTTGCAAGGCAGATTTCCCAGGACTCTGCTCACAGGGTATCGTGCGAATTGTACACTGGAAGTATACGGAAAGACTTATTCATGTTAGAAGTGGAAGGGTTCATAAGACTGTGGTTATTAGCTAGAAGAGCTAGAATGGCTTAATTCTGATACTTAATGTCTGTGAATTGATTCTTCGAGAAATCTCCTATTTCGAAAGAGGCACTAAGAATGCTGACAGCCCTACTAAAAATCCTAGTCTGTCCTTACTTTCATAGTGTATGGACCCATGCTAGATTTGAATATACGATATACGCAAAATAATGAAAGCAGTCTTTTTTTTCTTTTAGCAATTGGGAAGTTTAACTTGCTGTCTGACACTTTGACAAGAACTTAAAAATGTGTGTGTTTGTTTTTCAAGATAGCATTTGCCCTTTTATAAAAGCAGCTTGTGCTTCTCCTCAATCTCCTCAAAAGTTGTTTAACTCCAAACATCTGAAGTATGTTTGGCTTTGTCCTCAGACTCTTATCTCCAGTGTTTGAGTGAGCTACAGATATGAATGCTCAAGGTAGTACATGGGACTCTTCAGCTCTAGAAGGAGCTCTGTTCTTCAAGATCCTTCGTGTGTTTTATAAATAACCAGCACGCAGCACTGTGTTGCTGGTAAAAACAGAATCGCCTTGGTTTACATATAGAAAAGCTTAACTGAAGCTTATGTGTTTTTAAGCCAAGGGTCTCATTTACAGCATTATGCAAATATATGCTTATTTGTCTAGAGAATGAAGCAACATTCTGTTAGTTAGCACAAATATGTAGTTTATCTCATAATCCTTGTACAAATCTTGTTTATTCTGGCTGAAAAGTTAGATTTCAACATATCTGGCAGAAGTTGCTGTACTCCTTAGCAATTCTAGCCTTCACCTGGTTGAAAAACAGGCATGTCTTATTCCTGCCTGTTAGCAGTAGGTTACAGCCAAGATGTCCTATCAGTATTTTCTGGTATGCCACAGTTTCTGGTGAAGCTGCCTAATTACTTGCTGAACAGTCAAGCTACGTGCTAAACCTACCACGAACTGCTAACAGCTTGGGGATATGCGATGTTAATGTATCGTTTGGAAGAAAATAAAGAGTTAGTATAAAAGAGGGATTGTTACTCCTTAAATAAAATTGTATGCAATAAATAACTTTTAATCAAAATTTAAAGCCTTGAAATAGGAATCTAATCTGGGAAAGCACAGTGGATTATACAGAAGCAGCTGGGGGGGGATGCTTGCTTCTCCTCTGTGTTACAGACTGGTTTAGTAAACGTTAGATGGCCAAGTGGTTGAGTCTTTGCCGCTAGATTACAATCCAAGTTTTCAATTAGACGTTGATGTAATTTCCACAAAATAGAGTTTAGCAATGGTTCGCCATATATTTTTTTTTCAAAGCTTTCATAATTCAGAAAGTAGTCAACTTATATTTTACGAGCATGGCTGTACTACTCAGTAGGTATCCCATCTGTTTTTTTGACTTAAAAATACACAGTAGTCAGTTTAGGCAGCTGCTTTAAAAAATAAAAAACAAACCCAAACAATTAATAAATGGGGATACAGAATCCCATGCATAGCTTGTTACAATACTTAAAAGCTAACTTTGTGTAGCATAGTGAGGTATCTTCAAATTTCTAACTAGTAAGACTGTTTAAAATGTCTTGATTTTTTTTTTTTTAGCTCTAAATGAAGCACTGACTTGTCTTTAGACACTAGGAGACAGGAAAGCAGTTGAATACAGAGACAGAAAAGACTGTGCTCTGTGTTCAGAAGAACAAGAAGGAAACAATATATGAGAGAAGCAGGAGTCATTAAGAATTTGAGTTGTAAGATAAGCTAAATCTAAGGGGGGGATGGCTCTTTCATCATGAAACTTTCTAGCGCACATAAGGTTTATCAGACAAAAGATATGCTCTGTTGTATTAAAACCTCAGAATTTAGGCACAGGTTGCTTTATACTGCCCTAAAAGTTTCGTTCCAACTGCCTTAAAAGGAGGAACTATTCTTAAAATAAGTTATGGTCTCTCCATTCCAGTCTTGGGTTGTGCAGTGCATGGAAAAAAGAAGTACAAATATTTCAGAAATGAGGCTTGGAGCATTTACCAGGCCATTTGGGCATGGAAGAAGGGGTCATCAGAATTTCAGAAGGGCTGTTATGATGGTGAAAATATTTCCATTGTACCTGACCGATATTGGCAGTTTCTCTGCTCTCAGTGAATTGCACAACCCAAGTGCCAGTCGGCTTCCCGCTCCACGGTGCTTGTCTCCTTACTTGAGAAGAGAAGGCTGATGAGTAGGGAGCCGTTGTACTTGGCTTCAGGGCTGCACTCCTGGAGCAGGCAGCCTGAGATGGATGCAGTCCTTCACGGTTCCCTCCAGGTGTCACGTGTGAATTTGGCTGCTTTGTTGATCTTTCTGTTGCCTGCCTTTCCAAAGAGGAAGCGTAGGGACCATCTTTATGCTGTTAGTGTTTCCCTCTCAATGAAAGGCGCGTGAGATCACAACAATAACACCACGCTTTGCTACGTGGCTTGGGCATCAAAGGTTATTGTTGCTGACTATGTGACGTGCGTAGCCTTGTGTGCAAAGAAAATAATTTGGCATGAATGTTATATACAAAAGCAAAGTTTTAAACAGATTTTTAAACCTTCGTATGGGAGAGATTGTCTAGAGAAATACTGAAAGAATGCAGATAAAATACGGACCAACGTACCAGTATCTTAAGCAACCCCAAATAGATGGAAGATACCAGATACTTTGCTATAAGTTAGTAACCAGAGAGTTTAATTGCCCTGAAGTATGCCTGATCAGGCTTACAGCTTACTGTTCCAGCGTCTGTCTTTGTGCCTTAAGGCTTTTCGCAGTGGCTGCTCTTTGTGACAGTAGGGGTTGTGGTAGTTGGTTTCCCAAGGTACATCCCGTGGGGGTTGTGCCCAAGTCTCCCGTTAAAGATTCCTGCCTATAGCTGTAAATAAATACATTTTAATCATTTGTCCTCCTCCTTGTTGCAGAGGGACTTGTAACTTGGTGAAACTGTTGCCTGCTCTCTTGTTCTGTAAATCTCTCTACCAGCCCCATTTCTGATTTAGCAAGTATTAATGAAGGTGATAAAATTAGTAAATTGGAGCATGACGGTTCTGGCTTCGTTCGTAGGATGTGAAGTTGGTGGGTTTGACGATATTCATTTGGCAGAGTTGCACTTCGTGATGAAATAAGCAAAGCTGTTTGTGACTCGTAGCTAGTTTTATTACTAGGAATGTTGGCAACTTAGAAATGCTGTGTCATTGCTGTAAAGTGACACAGCACAATCACACTCATTCTGTTAGTTCTGATTCTTTGGCTACTTTTTGGTAAGTACCCCTTCTTTTAAAGGACTGATGGATTGCTTCTCAATTCTGAAGGTTAAAATGCAGTTCTTGCGCTAGAGATTTTTTTTCAAATGCACATGGGAAAATCTGTCTTGTTTTGTTGACTGGAGTGTTGTATTTCTTTTTTAAGATGGATGTTAGCTATAATGAAGTCCATTGTATCGTATGTTATCTGGTATGGCATTAGTATCTCAAGAACTTTTATCCACTTGGCTGGAACAGCAGGGTATCATTTCTGGATTTTGTCTTTAGTCTAGCTATTTTTGGTCAGAAAAAGAGTAATAAAACATCTCTTGTTTAGTCTGACTGTTCCCATGATACGTATCAGGCACAGAGGGAAAGTGTTTCCAAATAGAATACTTAGAAAAAACAATAAATCCTTCTCATGTGAGTATAGTGCTGTTCCCTATGAGAAGTAGAACCGTTCTTCAGAGCCAGGACAAGGCAGAAAAGAGATTAATTCAGCTCTTTGTCCACGTACTCATTTGTAGCTGCATTCTTCATTCTGAAGGTGCAAAGAAAGAGGTGATAAGAGAATTGCTTATTTGTTTTAACCCTGTAACTTTATATACAATTATTACTGGAAAAAGTGATTGGCAGCAAACTGTGTTGGCCCATTTGAGCATTACACATTATAGCTTAACTTGTGAAATATTTATTTTAGTAGACTAGTAAAAAGCTGAGCTATTTGTATAAGAAAGGCAAGTTGTTCCATGTAATATCTAAATCTAGTTTCCGAAGAGGTTCTCCTTCCTATAAAATGGTCTCAATCAGAGCTCCCGGCAGAATTTCTGAGCAGCTCACACCCAGGCTTTCAGTAGGGAATTAGTAGGGATTTGCTGTTTTACCTAGTTACTTGTGTTCATGACACTTGAGGGTACGTAATCTCTCTGAAACCTTTTAGTTCTCTGTCAAGTGTAGTCAAAACTGAAATTTGCACCAGAAATTGGGAAGGAAACTGGTGAACGTGGATATAGTGCGGCTGCGCAGCTTAAAGAAACACCACTAAAAATCTATTTCTGGAGCTTAGCATCTTCCTGTCTCCTGCAAAACTAAACGAAACAACTGCCACATCTAATCACTCCCTCGCTGTCTCAAGGGCTTCAGCCACACTTTAAACTGGATGCCATATGTGGAAAACAGGAGGGACCGATCTCCTGAGGAGTGGAACACTTCAACCTCTCTTGAATTTGGGGCCTGTCCAGGAGGATATATGTATGGAAATTTATGGTTTGTGATAAATGAGAAGCCAGACTGGCAGACTATTTTTGGCCTTAAAAGTGCATGAGGTCAACTTCCATAGTCTCATTACAAAACGCGGAAAGTGTTTTCACCTCTGGTCCAAATGCTGTGGATGTAGGAATGCTGTACTTCTTATTTCCATCGCTCTACTGCTTTTGGTGTAAATGTACTAAATTTTGCAAAAAGGAAGAAAACATAATAGTAGGGAAGCTACAGTTGATGTACTTCAAAAGCCACAAAAATAAAAGCCACTTTTTTCTTTTTTAAACTCTCTGGATTAACTAACTACTTTTCAGATGCGTTCAGTCTACTCTGCATCTTCTGCACTGCAGCTGTGATCAGAGCCTCCATTTCTTGCAGTCTGTAAGCAGATAAGGACGAAGGCGGTGCAGGCCAGACCAGAACTTTGCGCTCTAAGCTAGCAAACCTGTAATGCAAAGCAGAGTTGCCGGATTTGTTTAAACATTACTTGTTCCTAGCTTTATTGTTTAGCATCTGAGACTTGGGTTAAACTACGAAGAATTTAACCTATGAAGCTTATTTACAATTCAGGTGAACAAATTAACATCTTAAGACACACCGTAGAGGCTGGAAGGGAACTTGTGCAGTGTTCTTAACTTAGGAGGCTGACAGAGATACGCCTTCAGAGTGGAAGGAGATGGGTAGAAATGTCTGAGCCAGCAGGTTCTTTAAATACTTGTTGGACGTGCTTTTTTTTGTTTGTTTCCTAGTTTGATTTTTTTTTCTGAATTAAACAAAGGTACCTGATGTAATTTATTCTGGAAGGGAGTGTAGTTTTAAATGTATATGAAGCTTGCAGCCCATTTTTTAGATACTTCATGTGAGCACGCTAATTCCATCATGATGTTCTAACAGTGGTTGTTGTGGAAGATCTGCATTAAAGCTGCTTGAGAGGGAGGTGGTAAGGAAAACACTTGGATACGCTGCATTAAAAGAACATCATCTTTGTGCATTAAGAATCTATTCATAAAAGAAGTTAGCAGCTAATTTATTTACGATATCTAAAACCCAAGTTCTGCAAAGCCTTTGCTTAATTCTCTTGCCTTCTACTTAACTGCATGCTTCTAAATGCTTCTTTTTTTTCATTTGGGATTTAAGTTTATTTTGGTCTGTCCTGTGCTCTGCCTCTGTGCACAAGAGGTGGTTTAGATCCAAGCCTAGAGTAAGATCAAAACTTTTTTAAAACACAAAGCAGAAGGTGAAAATAAAAACACTACTAAGACTTAGCGAATTCTTTTGTTTGTCTGATTTTTGTGTCATGGCTGGAGGAGCCGGTAACCTCGCCTGATACCATGTGAGGAGAAATTTATCACAAATGAGTGTAACCTAAATGTCTGAGACATTGTCGAAGTCTTGATGCTTGTGTGTCAACAGACACCTAAATGAAAAGCTCGCTCCTGTGAGGAGCATGCCGTCAGATGTCGTACAGGCGGTCCTGTATGTCATACTGCAGGATTAGCTGCCCTGCTGTTGCTGTGCTGTGGGTGGTACTACACTGGCTGCAAGTAAGGACTTAACAAGGGCCTTTTGTTTTGTTTTTTTTTTTTTTTAGTTCCTCATTGTTCCTGCGATCGTGGGTAGTGCCCTTCTCCACCGGCTTTCTGACGATCGATGGGAAAAGATAACAGCATGGATGTATGGCATGGGGCTCTGTGCGCTCTTCATTGTCTCCACAGTATTTCATATCGTTTCTTGGAAAAAGAGTCACTTAAGGTATCACTGTAAGATCTATAAGATGTTTTATTTTCATGTTCTGCAACGTTCTTCCATTGTGTTTCTCAGTCAAAAACATGATTTTACAGAAGTCTGGAGTGGTACCTTGTACCGAATCATGAAAAAATGCCCTTGATTCTGTTGGAAGAAATAATGAGCCAAGCTCATATACAAACAAAGATTAACGTCTGTGGCTCTTTCGCAAGGAAAACGTGTTTTTCTAGGCCCTAGTGGCTCTTAATCCAGAAGTTGAATGGGAAAACCCTAATCGAAATGCTTGGTGGATATAATCCCATTGCAGAAATGAGAACGCTGTCTGGGACTGTGGCAGGCTGAAATACTTTGAGGAACACAGAGCTTGCCAAGAGAATTATAATCCAATACACAGTTAACTAGCAGAAAGCTAGTCTTCCAAGTGGTTTTAAGAGGTTATGGAGCTGATGGTATTTTCCCGAGAGTAATTCCAAAGTGTTTGAGGAAACTGAGATATAAAAAAGCCTTTCCAAAATCTGTCTTGGTGACTTGTTCTCTCTCTTACTAGGACAATGGAGCATTGCTTTCACATGTGTGACAGAATGATGATCTATGTCTTTATTGCGGCGTCATACGCACCATGGTAAGAAATCTGAAGCGCAGCTTCAGAATTAAAGCTTTTTCCATTGTCAACAGTTTGTCATTGCAGCTTTCCAAAATCTATAGGTATCTTCTTAGATGCAATTGATCACATTCTGCATTGTGAAATGCAACATAAGGTAATCTCCTGGGATTTAATATTAGAAAATGGCAGAAAGTAATCTATTTATATTCCACATCCCCAGCTTATGCTTCCCTCGCATCCATGCAAACACACCTGCTGCTTTTCTATGTATAGAATGGCCAAGTGTCTTCTCCCCCATCATGCCTAAGTTATAGCTCTGAATATTTATTTGTTTTTATCAAGCCCTACTACGCTTGTGTCAGTATGGTCCATTCATTCATCACTTCCGTCTCTTGAAATCTTTGTACCTCCAGGTTAAATCTACGCGAGCTTGGACCTCTAGCATCTCACATGCGTTGGTTTATCTGGCTGATGGCTGCTGGAGGAACCATTTATGTATTTCTCTACCATGAAAAGTAAGAGTTATTCTTTACATTTAACTTCAAACTGAAATTAAAAGATGGGACTTTCTTGCTTTCTGTGGGTTCCTATCCGGCCTTTCACACATTGAAATAAGAGCTTTGAAATGTGGAAATATGTGATGAGAATGATGCAAACTTACACGTTGTCGGAAGATAACTGTATTCACCCTGTCATAACACGTCTAGAGCCTGTATTGTTTTCTTCTCTTAAAGGGGTGGGAGGGAAGTATCCACTTTTAAAACTTTAACTTTTGCTACAAGAAAGCAGGGGTGAGAGTGGGTAGGGTAAGAAGCCAGTTGAAATGAGGGCTTTCTTACAGCCCTACTTTATGTAGCATTGTGTATAGATTATCCTGCACCATTACATTGTTTATATATACTGATGCATATTCACTCCTGCTACCTTGGTTTTGTTTTGAGATGCGAGTCCTTGAGTTTCAGATCTGAATTCTTGAGCCCGTTTTCATTACTTATCCCCAGGGAGCAAGACCTACCTTTTTTGCTTTGGAAATGAGCTACTCAGGTTCTTGTCAAAAAAGAAAACATAAGTTGTCTCAACGTTTTATTCTCACTAGTACTTAATGCAAATGAATGCATCTAGGCAGTATTTAGAGAAGAAGGTATTGCCTGCCACTGTACAATGCAGAGATAAATACTAGCTTTATTTTTATTATAAAGCAATGGTTATCTAACTGCATAGAAAGCTTTTTGAATAGTTTAATGGACCCACGCTAACATAAAATTTAAAGTTTGTTGTTTTTTGGTTTTTTTTACTGTTGAAGGAAATGTTCAGCCTCTTATACACCTCCTTAAATGACTCAAATTGTTCCTTTTTAGGTATAAGATCGTTGAACTCTTTTTCTATTTAGCGATGGGATTTTCTCCTGCTCTGGTAGTGACATCCATGGTAAGGAATGTGACTATTGACGTAACAAGCACACAAACTTTCCTTTTATGCCTAGCTTAAGTTCCAGTGCAGCTCTCTTTCTTCTGAAAAGATGTTAGTTTTAGTCCACCATAATTGTAAATGTCGTCTGCAGAAGAACCAAATATAGTCAGTTATATTTTGGGTTTATAGTTCACATTCAGTGAAATGCTACCTTGTTTTGTTGATTCTGGGCTGCAGGTCTAGATAAAAAGAGCTTAGGTTCTGAACTTCGCTTCTGAAGTCGCTCGCTTCTGAAAGGATATTGGACGTAACAATTCAATTACTTCCATTTTAGTAAAAATGATAAAGACGTGTGAAGTACCTTAGCCTGTCAAGGAATGTTTCTAGATTTTACTATTTATGAACTTACTTAATGCCTACTGACCACTTAGAAATTGGGAAGGAAGTTTTTTCTTTAGGAAAGTGGAATGGACTTCTGATAACATGTTGTCCTTTTTCTTGGTGTATGTAAGAGCTCTCTGGAAAATCTAATCAATTGATTCTGTGGTTTGGACCAAGATGGGGGAAGTCAATTGATTCTTGCTCCTTTCAAAATTACTTAGGGGCAACAACGCTAGAAGATTTTGTCTTTTACTGGAGGCTTCTTTTTATCAGTGAAGCAGGGAAAAATCCAAAAGTTGAGAAGTAGTTGAACAGTATCAAGTTGATGGACTGTATCTGGGATACTTCATCTCTTAGCAGTTGGCGTTTTTTGGGTTTTTTTAATAAGAGGTTTCTTGGTGCATCTGTAAAGCATCCTACTCCGTCTTGTCCACCTCAAAACTTTGACATTTATTTATAGTTACATATTTTAAATAACTTTGCATAACCCTCTCTGCTGCTAATGTAAATCTGACACCTCTACAAGCTAATGCCAGTTACAGGACTTAACTGTTCCACGTGAATGCTGCGCTATACCAAAACCTTGCTGGATGCTTCATCCAACTAGTAGGAGTTGTGTTGAACTCGTGCTTGCACACAGTAATGTGGTTTCCTTTTTCTCCATGTTTGTCTGCTCTGCTAATGAGCGTGAAGCAAAACATCAGACTTGTCTTAATTCTTGAGTTATCCTGCTATTACTTCCACAGTGCTATTGAGATGTATTATATAAATATATTTCACAAAGTGTAATCTAAATATTTGTATGCTGGTTTTCTCCCTTGTCCATCTCTGGTATCCAAGATGTTCTGAGTTACGACAGCCGGCTTTTTGCGGGAGGGACACTTTGTATTTTGTGCATAAAATACCCTTTCCCTCCTTTACACCCCGCCCCTGACCTTTCTTTGTTAATCGACAGAGCAACACCGATGGACTTCAGGAGGTTGCCTGGGGAGGCTTGATATATTGTCTGGGCGTGGTGTTCTTCAAGAGCGATGGAGTCATTCCCTTTGCCCATGCCATCTGGCACATATTTGTGGCCACAGCAGCTGCTGTTCATTACTATGCCATTTGGAAGTACCTTTACAGAAGTCCTGCAGACATAATTCGTCACTTATGAGAGAGAGAGAGATATATATATATATAAAGAAAAAAAATCTGCACTTGGCCTCTGTAACAGTATTATTTGACTTAAGGAATTTGGGGAAATTGGAAAATTGCACAGAAAAGCTGCACTGACTTTGGTAGTTCTCTGAACACAATTACTGTGAACTGGTGTGTGTGTCCTGCAACTGCCCATCCCATGGCAAGTGCTGTAAATAACCAGGATACTGTACTGCAGTACTAAGAGTCCATTCCGTGTTAGTAGAACTGGCTACCTGATGTTTACAATTAAATTTTGTATTCTAGTTTAATTTTACAATTTTTAACTACGTGAATTTTTCTAAATTAGTGATTCAAAGGGTGAAGTCAGTGCAATAGCGAAAATGTAACTCTTGATTTGAAATAGGTTTCTATCACCTTTCCACTAGTCATTTATTAAACATGAATCACAGACAAATAATCTACTTTTACCACCCATGATCTTGGTATAATGTGACTTTTATAGAAACTTTTTGTGTTTTTTGTAAACTTTAAAAGTACATTTATTGAACTGAAAACACACAACTGTCATCTATGCAGTTACTCATGTTGCAAAATCTTGCAAGAAACGGTTACATTCCACATACTGTACTGACAAGCAAACATTGTACCTCTTCCCAAGGTTGTATTACAGCTGTAATTGTAATAACCACTTTTACGAACTAAAATCTAAATGTGATTCTGCTGAGTTTTAACATGATAGTATTCTGCTCATCTCTAATACCACTTAAACAGCACCGTAATTTGGCTTTTTCCGAGGTGGAAATGAAGAAGGTTTAAAAGAAACGGTTAACACGAGCTTCTCCTCGAGATTTCCCAGTTGTGCTCCGTGCTGCCCAGGCAGGCAGCGGCGTGGGTGCGAGCTGACTTACCAAAGGCCGGCGGTGGTAAGGAAGGCGGGCAGCTGATATCCCCCGACCCAGACCGGAGCGTCAGTCATTTCTCCAGAATACGTGTACACGTATCGGTGCTGTAATATTAAGGCTTGGATTTTCAAAGGGATTTAAATTTCGTTGGGGTTCTGTTGGGAAATCCTGAGCGGCAGGTATGGAGCCATTGCTGACCACTCTGAAGTCATGGTTATTGGTTCTAACCAAGCACAGCCGTTCAGGGAGAAGAACTTGCTAGGGCGTCACTTGTCGTTCTGGGACTTAACGCAGAGTAAAACTGGTCTTTAATTGTATTGCTGTCTTTCTGTACAGGAAAACCAAATGTGGCAGCACGTCGTGATTGTAGAAGACGTGCGTTAAATGACCAGGTGTGGAAGAGTCATTGTAATACTGTTTGTCCAATAATTGTATCCTGTCCCGCTATATAATGAATGTCTTATATTAAGATTGACTTTATCCTTTTTCTAATTTCCTCATTTTTTCTTGTCAGTATTTAAAAACAAAACCAAAACGTGTTGCCTTTTTCAGATTTTGTTCTGGATATTGCCTGTCTGCAAACAATAAGTAGCAAGATAGGGAAGTTTTTCAAGTTACCATTTAATATCGCACCTAGATTTGCCAGTGGGTTGCATATTTTAGAATATATACATTTGTATATGGAATTTACAGGAGGGACAAACTTTAAATTCAAGGCATTGAAGAAGAATTGCTGTACGGTGTTAGCAGGTGATCGGAGAAATGGCACCACTGCAGCAGGCTGGATAACTGCCCCAACGGAGAGCAAGCGGAACAGCTGGGCAGGTAATTCCTACTACGACAGTCTCGCACATCTGGATGCCTCAGTTTTTTTAACATTGTGTCTCTCTTAATATTTTCCACTTTTTGTGAGTTCATATATTTTGTTTAAATGCAGTACTGTTAAAACCACTAAAATACATGTAAAGGTTTTCTGTAGTCAAAAGTGAAACTATCGCTTGAGTATGTTTGTTTTCATTTTAAGTTAATTTTTCATGGCATTGCTTTTTGGAGTGTTTGAAATGGTTTTTAAAAAATTTCAATTCGCCAAAAATATTTTGAATTACTGTATTCTAGTCAATATGATATTGAATGTACTAGACTAACAATAAACATTTTGTGCAATTTGGAAACTGTTGTATTCTTGGTGGTTGGTTTTTTTTCCCCTCCAGCCTTTACGCAGGAAAGTAAGGGGCCGACACTGTTGCCACTGTTGACACGAGAGATCCAGAGCTGAACCTAATGACCCTCATGCTTGCTCAGTCAACTCATTAAATAAAAATGGGAGGAAAGGTTACAATCCAAATTATTCAGTTTGTGGTATGGAAAAAAGTACGTTTATGTGTAAATTTTGGTCAATATTGGGAACTGGCTACTTTCCCTTTTGCTCTTCTGGATCAATTTTCTTATACCATTATATACTGGGTTGGGTTTTTTTCTTCAATTATATAACATTAAAATACATAATTTTCTCCTATCCCTATAGGAGTATCATTGCATTAAGTATAGACAAGCTGAACTGAAAATGCATTTCTGTCTGGAAAACAAATATGTCAATTAGCCTTCCCCCCCCCCGCCTAATTGCAGCTCTCGGGGCTGATCCCTCCCAGGAGTACCAACAGTGCTTTCTCCAGTAATGTTTGCTGCCGCAGCAGGGATGCGATTTCTTTGTCTTCCTGAAGCAAAGGTTTTTAAAAGCACTTGCTTCTGTGTTTTTCCATGCCTCTGGGTTTTAGAAGTTCAACAAATACACTGAGTTTAAATGAAGCAGTGACAACAGGCGCTTTGGTTTTGCAGATGGACTTTTCCAGAGGATGTCTGGACGCAACAGGTACTTCGAATACTGGATGCTTCCAGTCTCATCACTTCTAGGTTGTATTTTTCTAACACAATATTGTGTCCATCTAAAAAATAATTTGGTGATCTGAAGGGATTCATTTAAGGATTTATTCTAGAGTGCACTTGTTCTTTGTATTGTTTTTTAATTCAACACCAGCAAGGAATGCACAGAGAGAGTACCGATTTTTCTTTCTGTTAACAAAAGCAGCCAGAAGAGCAGGCTGCTCTTCCAATTCTGTGTTGCCCGCATCCCTCTTAATTTCTTGTGATTATGGTAAGACGTTGTATTGCTGTCTTCCAGTTCTAGGTAAGTAATGAAGTCCCTTCAAAGGAGGCTGGAGTGTCCGAACATGGTTTTTGCAACCTTTGCTGTATCTGTTGAAGGTATGGCGTAAGAACGGGATACTTCAAAGACTCTTTGAAATAGCTGTTTACCAAAATTTTTACGTTGCCTAAATTCCAGATCTTCAGAACTGCTCAGTGTTAGCAGACAGACAAGATATTTCTATTTAATGTGTTTTTACAGAGTTTTCTTCTTGTTGCCTGGTCTGAGCGCCAGGCCTGCGTCTGGTGGTTCGTAGCCCAGCGGTTCCGCGGCGCTGGCAGGGCGCTGGATGGGGTAACGCGCTTCTGAGGCTGAGGGTGATCGCTGTGCTAGTCATAAATTGTAGTACGGTTTCTTACGTGATTTTCACAGCCGGTGACTGAACTCTTACATGCTGATAAGTGAATTGCATAAATCACGCAGGTGGTGTAGCGTTTTTACGGCTGCTTCTTGGTGCAATGTGTGTGTGTCGGGGGCTGGAGTGAGCAAGTTAAAGAGAAGATGCTGACGTTTTCCATAGAGCCTTTTCTGTTAACTTCTTGCTTAAATGTCCCTCATGCCTAGGACCCTGCCGCTTGTTTGGAAACCTCTTTGAGTCACCTACACAATTCTTTATTTAGATCTGATGTATTTAGCCAGTGATTTCTCTGGAGGCTAAGGCTGTCGTGTTCACATCATGTGCTTGACTAAGTCTTTTCTCTGTGCTTTGCTATTTTTAAAAGAACGCAGGATGTTAGTCTCTGCTCGCTAATTGCGTTCACCATCAATAGGTGTCATAAGATTAAAGCTAAAAATAGTGAACACAAGAATGACCAGGATGGCAAGGCGGACGCTTGCCGGCTCCACGGTGTGGGTGTTGCCAGCCTTTGTGCCTTCCCTGTTGCGTAGCTCGTGCCACGGACCGTTGTTCGTCAACAGCTAGAGGCTGCCCGCTGTCATTCTCCTACTATTTGAACGTGTTTCCTTCATCATTTGTCTGAATAAATTCACTAAGCACTGTCGCGGCCTGGTGCGTAAGACACCTGAAATGTTCGCTAGTGGCTATTTGGAAGCACTCAGATGCTTTTAGTTTGGTGCTGCAGCGGTGCTGGGAGGACTGGTGCTGTGGCACAAGCAGTAGCGCAGAGGTAACGCGGTGCCTGGGGCTGAACACCCCCAGGCCGCTCAGTGTCGGGGTTCGGATGTGCTGGCAGCCTATCCTGAAAATGCACCACAAAAGTTTGAGGTGAAGGACCTTCGGAGTATCTGTGCCATGTACAATCTGAACTAAGGTAGTAGTCCAGTCTTACGGGTCCAACCTCTAGGGAAAGCACTGGTTTCTTTAAAAGAGAGTTTTCAGGTTCCTGTTTGGGTAGTATTTTGCAGCGGGCTGCTGTTTGTTACTGAGCTGGGTGTCTGCTGGCTTGTTCTCACTCCAGGCATCCTCCGTCTGTTGGTGGTGAGCCTGACTGCAAGCAGTGAGGGTGGCGATGCTTGTTCCCGTCGTAGAACCAGGGCACTTGTTACTAAGGATAAGCTGGGGAGCCAAAATCCTCTTGCAAAAGGCTAGCAGCGAAGCCAGCACCAGTTTTGTAACCGAAGTTACATCACGGACTGTAATGAGGCTGGCGTGCTCTCCAAAGGATATATTCAGATGTCTTTGTTGCTTAGCAGTGTGAGCCCTGCTGGCGGTGGATTTGTGTGCCCAAATCCTGCAGGTGCCTTTGAAAGTCTCCCTTAAATTTTCACATAGGTGAAAAGCCGTTAGTAGAGACCTACTGAATTACTGGTTTTAGCTCCAGCAGACATCGTCTTGCTTTCTGGTGTGTCGTGTTTGCTTCCAGCAGTGACGCAGAGGTTTGGCGTGCAGGCAGTGACCGGCCGCAGCGCGCGGCTTCCTTGACGTGGTCAGGCAGCGACCGAGCCTCGGCTCCGCCAGGACATCCAGAGCAGGCCACAGGATGCTTGGATGGCGAGCTGTAGTTATTCAGGGTGTTGAAACACTGAAACCCAACCCACAAC